AAACAGCCATGAAGTGAGTGACTTATTTGGGGGGATTGTTGGCCAGGACAGCGGGAGAAACCGCTTTCTCTTTTCCATTAGTTCCACGGGGTCTCAGAGACTGGAGCAAATATGAAGAGCAACTGGAGACGAAGCAAGAAAATCAAAAGGATTTTGCTTCTCAGTTAGATTTTTATATGAATCACAGCCAGAGCGATACTAGCCTTAGAAGTTGCATTTGGGCTCGCTTAAAAAAAAGCAAGATATACTTATGTTTAAAAAGCTTTTCAGGCGAGCATCAGAATGAATTCAAAATGTGGATCAAAGTAATTTCTAACTATCACTGATGTCTCTTGCCTGATGTTCAAAAGATCACATTTCCTTAACAATACCTGATAATTACCCAGTAGGACACCAAAGGTTTTGTAACTCGCCTGTGGAATATCAGAACGCTGTAAAGAATGACAGCATGGAACAGACAGCTGTAATTTGTCCAAAATAGAGTGTAATAAAAACCAGGTCAACGTGATTAAGTGGAGGTTTCACAGCGGGCTGTGTTAACTCTTTATGGGAACAGTTATTAATTTGCCACTGATCTCACTGCTATTTGTGGGTCACTGATGCTCCAGGACACTACCCTGTGTGAAGGGCGCTGTATAAATATAAGTTGTTGTTGCTGAGTCACAGCAGCCTGCAGACACCTATCCTTGAAAATAACTCTTTGCCTGATGTTCTTTGAGGTGTGATGAAGTACCAAACCTAATCAAGTATTATTTTAATTAGAAGAAATAAAAGCAACCTAAATCAACATCAGAGACGTAAATACAGAAAATTAGCAAATCAGTCTTAAACTTAGAGCCAATGGCTTAAAATGAAAGATTCTGCAGAATTTGGGAAATTGATTAATTCAGACTCAATTCGAAACCCAGTTTATTGTAATTCGTAACACAAAAATCAGCATCGGTACATTTACTGCCATCAAATACAGGAAAATTTAATACTGTAGGTAATTCTATAACAGTCCCAAAGTAAGGATATGATTCATACTTTTACAGAATGAAGCTGCTAATGTACTGCTGATGGGAATTCAGCAGATAAGTGTTCATAAATGGGGTTACAACAACAACAACCACAACAAAATTATATGTGTACAGCGCCTTTCACATCGGGAGGCTGTCAGTGGACAATCAATGTTTCAGACCCGACCTGGGGGTTGGGATCAGGGAGGGTGGAGAGCGGGGGGGAAAGAGGGTGATCGAAGGCACGGTCGAAGAGGAGGGTCTTGAGATGGGTTTTGAAGGTGGCAAGGGAGGGGGCGAGGTGGAAGGACTGCGGGATGGAGTTCCAGAGGGCGAGGGCAGAGTGGGAGAAGGCCTGCCTGCCCATAGTTGGACGGGCGAGGCGGGGGACTTGAAGCAGGCCGGAGCCCACTGAGCAGAGGGAGCGAGCAGGATGGTAAGGGGTTAGGAGGTCACAGAGGTCGGGGGGAGCAAAACCATGGAGGGTTTTAAAGCTGAGGACCAGGATCTTGAACTGAATCCTCTGTGTAATGGGAAGCCAGTGGGGTTGGGCGAGCGTGGGGGAGATGGGGTCACGGAACCTGATGTGGGAGAGGACACGGGCTGCAGAGTTCTGGATGATCTGCAGTCTGTGGAGGGAGGAATTGGGGAGGCCGACAAGCAGTGAGTTTTCATAGTCAAGTCTGGATGTTATAAATTTGTGTATGAGAGTTTCGGTGGCCTGCGGTGTGAGACAGTGATGGAGCTGGGTTAGTTAGCAGTGCTTTAAATACATATTCAATAAGTGTTTAATTGACACTTTAGAATATTTGAAAATTGGCTTTAATGGAGCTTTCAGTTTTTCTCTGTTGGAATAGCTCAGTGATTATATTCGCTCTTCAGGGCTATTGAAATGTGAAATGTTTTACTTCCAAACCATGCTACATATTGATAGCCATTTCTCTCTCTCAGATGGCTCCCAATCAGGAAGTAGCAATCTTACAGCGCCTCAAGCATTATTATTATTATATAAAATCCCTGAAGCAAAGCTACTGAGAATTCACATGGCTCTACTGATGGTCTCTGTTCATTAACTGAATTAAAGATGTCATGGTGTTAAATACAATAACACTTACAATGAGGGAATGGATACATACATTAGAATCCATTAGAATCTACAGCACAGAAACAGGCCATTTGGCCCAACTGGTCTCTGCGGTGTTTATGCTCCACATGAGCCCCTCCTGCCCTTCCTCAACTAACTTTCAAGCAGAACCTTCTATTCCTTTCTCCCTCATGTACCTCTCCACCTGTCTCATGTTACCTGCGGGGTACCCCAAGGATCCATCTTTCTGATCCACTTGCTCCCTCTTGGCTCTTGGGGATGTCATCCGCAGACATGGAGTACACTTCCACATGTATGCGGACGACACCCAACACTATTTTTCCACCTCTCTTTGCGCCCCCCAGTCCCCTGATCTGCCTGTCAGACCTCAGGGGCTGGATGAGCACAAATTTCCTTCAGCTGAACGTTGACAGGATGGAAGCCATATTCTTTGGCTCTCGTCAACGTCTAAAATCTCATGGCTCTCACCTCCTCCACCTACCCGACCTCCCCCTAAAACTCTCCGAGCCCGTATGCAACCTAGGCGTCAGGTTCAACCCCCAATTATCCTTCCTCCCCCACATGCGGGCCCTCACCAGCACCGCTTTCTTCCACCTCCGACACATCGCCCGTCTCCGCAAATACCTCTCTCTGAAAGCCACTGAAACCCTGGTCCATGCCTTTGTCACCTCTCAGCTGGATTATTCTAACGCCCTCCTCGCCGGTCGCCCATCCACTACCATCCATAAAATCCAGATTATACAACACTCTGCTGCCCACATTTTCACCCACACACCCAGGTAGAAATTCAATGAGTACAGAATAGAATAGACTTAATGAAACCCCATAAAACTTCTTGTTTTATTTTGGGCTGGTTGATTTTGTGCTTTTGACTCCAATTCCATACTCACACATCAAGAGGAAGAGCCTGCTTGTGTACACCTACATTAGCCATGCCTTTCATACATGGTAAATACCTGGGCCATGACCTCTCTTTAGCCTTGTTTTGTCAAGCTAACAATACATTCTGCTATTTAAAGAAAAACCTTAAAATAGCTTGAGATCCGCTCCATTGTTAAGAAAGTACATCTGTTTGACTGTAGACCAAATTGTTAAATTGCTCCCCAAATTCAGTTGTACCTCGTTATAAAATTGAAACAGAAGTTGCTGTGATCACTCAGTAGGTCAGGCAGCATCGATGGAGAGAGGAAAATGAGTTAACGTTTCAGGTTGATGACCTTGCGTCAGATGAGCGTTCCCAGCGAATTCTATCTATATTTCCGATTCCAAGCAGCTGCAGTACTTTGATTTTTGTGCCCCGTCAGGAGTTGCTTTCCTGTGTCCTGTGGTGGAGCAGTAGTTTTCATGTTACTTTGACACTTCATTTTGAGGAATCAGCCTCTGTAAATGGCTTCCATTAATAAATCACAACCTTGCAAATGGCTTAAAGCTTTTAAATTGTAGGCCTGGTGTTTGACTGAAAGCACATCACAGTTAATGAGGTGTCACGCAAGGGAGCAGGGGATCACCATGACAATCCAAAGACTGGCAGCTCCCTTAGTTGCCAAGTCCAGGGAGGAGGAGAAACCTTTTAGACAACAATAACTTTCATTTCTACGGTGCCTTTCACAAACAAGAATGCCTCGAAGCACTTCGCAAAATGAGAATACAAAATGCACCTACACAATTTACCCACAGAATAGTCACTACGCTGTGGAAAGCTTTGAAACGTCCTTGATATGCTGTATCAAATTATTGTTCTTATTATAATAGACCTCCCACCTCTTAGCCAATTTATCAAAACCCCAGCTTATTGGTCATTCATCTCACTGCTGTGTACAGGGCAAAGCAGGTTGGGGGTGACCTGATTGAGGGCCTTAAAATGACCAGCGGTTTTGATAAAGTCAAGGGGAGAAATTATTTCCACTGGTTGGTGAGTCAGAAAGTTACAAGGCATCAATTTAAGATGGTTAGTAAATGAGCAAATGGAGAGGTTAGGAGAAATGTTTTCATGCGCACAGTGACTAAGATATGGAATGCCTTGCCAGGAGCATTAGCTGAGGAGAAATCCATATGGCATTCAAGAAGGAACTAGGCAGATACCCTTAGAACAATCAGCTACAGGAGTGTGGGAAAGGACAAGTGGGACTGAAAAGATTGCTCGGGAGGGAGATGGCACAGACATGATGGGCCAAATGGCCTTCTTCTGTGCCATAAATCTCTATGGTTGTATGATCAATAGATCCACAACAAAGAGCCTCAGTCTCAACACACAAAAGGGGATGGATGAAGAGGCAGTATGACTTAACTATGCTTATGTAGACGATGGTTAGCATATAGTTTGCTCAAGGAGGTGATGGACTCAGATAGTGTGGCAAATTTCAAGTGAGAATTGGATAATAAATGTTTGATGTGAAGGAGTTGGGGTTTTTGAAAAATGGGACAAGACAGTTTGAATATTGGGATCTTTTCTGATGTTGGACACTATAAATCTCTTCTGAATTAGAATGGGAGAATGTGGGCACCTCCACAGTAGGTAACTGATGCTCATGCTGTTCAGCAAAATAGGTCTGAGCAGCAAAGCAATAGCTCGGGACAGGTTGCAGATGGACAGAATTTAACGGAGAAAGAGATTAGTGTCCGATTAATGTCAAGGATCATCAAATTATCAGAAATGTAAAGACTAGACAAGGATTAAACAGCTTTATGCTTCAAGCTAAGACAGGCATCAGGTTTTTTTTATTCTGAATCACACATAATATCAAAAGAATATGTAACACGGTATTTGGACAGCAGTTGAGTAGAACCTCCTTAACTTCAATGCAGGTGCAATGCTGCCCCTGTGAGGAAAAGTATATGTTGCAACTAGAACTGATGATCCTGTGTGGAATCACAAGAAAAAACAAGAACAGTTCCTTTTAGTTCTGTATGTGGACTGTAAAGGAACCTGCAAAGGAGAGCAATTTTGTTCTTAGCATTGGTATTAACACTAATATTAAAGGGGAGGGAAAACAATCTAGAAATCCTGGGGTGAATGTATTCAGAATAGGAAAAAAATGTGGTAGATCTTGATTTCAAAACAACTACACTGCCAGGTTTAGCCTTTGGTGGGAGAGTCCCTAAAGGTAACAAAGATAATGATGAACGAGTGGCTTGGTTTTAGTTCTTTACACAATTCATTAAAGAATGTTTAAATCTTCATTATAATGACTGGCGACGTAGCAACTTCAGGTGTCTTCTTTATACATTCAAGCTTCAAGTCTGAGAAGCTTTCAAACGGCATAATAATAATCTTTGCATTTGATATAGAGCCTGATCATGTCTTCGAGACGTCTCAAAGCTCTTCACAAGATACATTGTAAAGTGAATTGACTATGTATATTGTGGAGTAGAGCTATGACTGTTTTGATGCTCTAGTCTAGGGTACCTTCATTGGTTGGAGTGACCACATCTGGAGTCAGATCGGAGCTGACACAGTCCGTAAAGTTCGGTAATAAATTGATGGCTGGGATGTGCCTGAAGTGTTTGAGGCTGACGGCTGGGGGCGGTGTGACAGCTGAGGTGTTGAGGAGGGGTGTGTGCAGCTTGGGGTCCATTTGAGAAGGTTCCTCTACTTCATTCAGGGCTTGACTTTCAATCATGCTAGAATACAATCAATCAATCAAGCAATCAGGACACTGTCAATCAATCAGGACACCATCAATCAATCAATCAATCAATCAATCAGGACACCATCAATCAACAATCAATCAGGACACAAACAATCAAGCTAAGACACAAAAATACCAAACTGAGCATATCTGGGTAGGGTCCCAGAGCGCTTAACAGTGGCGGAGCACGACTCCGAGCTGGGGGGAGGTGACCTTACTCACGGTCGAAGAAGAAAGTCATCAGACGCGACCTGAAGATAAGGAAGGATGGGGGCAAGGCGGAGGGATTGAAGGAGAGAGTTCCAGAGTTGGTGGAATGAAGGGCACGAAAGACAAGCAGGAGCCTGGAGCCAGTGGAGCGGAGGCAGCAGGTAGTGGGTTGGGGGGTACAGCAACCAAAGCCAGTGGCTTTTTGCAGCAATTGCATTGTTACCTTAAAAGGTAATAACCTCAGTGAGGTTGGCTGGATTGACACTAACTGTTTAATCTATCAGTTCAGACCTCGGTCGTGTTACACTCACTGCATGTCGAAGGTAGATCCTAGAAATGATGGTTTCTGTGTCTCACTGGCTGTAGCCACTGTGTAAGGCGGCTGAGGGCTGGATTGGTCCCAGTATTTGTCTCTCTCAGCTGGAGGAAGATTCTGATACATATCGTCCACAGAGAGAAAGGAAACCTGTGGAGAGGTACAGCCATTTGTAACACAAACCTTCAAACCTTGTGATGTTTGTGGGTGAGATGACAGATCTCAGTAATGGGAACATTTGTACCCACTTAGCTATTGATCACTGTAACCAGGACACACAATAAAGCTTCTACTCTGATTTAAAGTCTGCTTTCCCCATAAATCTTCCAGTCGCCTTCAGTAAAGTTATTTTGGTGGTGAATTCTGTGCAGATTTATGCTGCAAACCTGGATTAGTGCTGCTCTTAGTTCCTTTACATATTCTTCTTATAGAGTTGTTGGGATAATAATAAACCTTGCATTTGGTACAGCGCCTTATCACGTCATTGAGACGTCTCAAAGCGCTTCACAGGATATACTGTAATGTGAATTGACTGTATATTGTGTGGGTGAAACGAGGCAGCCAATTGCGCACAGCAGCGTCCCACAAACAGTCATAATTGGGGCCAAGTTCTTGTTTGATCACAGAACCAGCTCAGCCTGGATAAATTAATTTGTTTACAGTCCGAGATGTGACTAATTTGAACAAGGTTGAATTGGGGGAAATGATGCTGGTGCTTTGCTAACAGAAAATGGTTGATAACTGTAACATTATTTGTAATATATACAGCAATATATATATACATTATTATTATTATTACCTGAAGGTTACGGTCAATCAGTTTGTTTGTTTCAAAATCGTCATCATCCTCTCCAAATGGATTAATGATCTGTTCGGCGACCTGAACAAGCAGAGTATTAAGTATTAATGAGTATTGAGTATTAATGTGTGATTACGTATTCGCGTGCAACTGTTTCACCCACAAAACTCACAGTCACTACACTTCAAATGTATCCTGTGAAGCTCCTTGAGATGTCTCAACAACATAATAAGGCGCTATATCAAATGCAAGGATTATTATTATTAGCTATAGTTTGTTAAAGTGCAAGTACAGAGTTGCAATCATATCTGGCTAGAAAGAGGGCTAATTCTTACAACAAATAGATGAGAGTTTCATTTTGTTGGAATGAAGTCGAACATACTTTGCAGGGATGAGAAGAAAGTAAACTTGATTACAGCACCAATAATTCCACGAATCAGCATTTTAAATGCAGTTTAGTGATCAGAAGGTGTAAATCATACCTTCAGCCAACCTGCATAGAAAAAGAACTGAAGCAAGGTGAAGATGGGAATGTAAAAATCTATCTTATCTTCTTCATAACCCTCCTTGGGTTCAAGAAACTGACGCCCGATGAGACAGATGGTGAAGAAAGAATAGACCGCAATGGTGACGACCTACAGAGCAGCGAAATAAAGGAAATAATTAAAATACACAGTCACTACACTTTACACTGTATTCTGTGTTGCGCCTTGAGGCGTCTCAATGATGTGATAAGGCGCCATCTGAAACGCAAGGATTATTATTGTTATTAGATGTCATTATACTTTGATATTGATGCTTTTCACGGATGCCGTTCTGACCTGGGTGTATACTAAGGGTATGCTGATCCAGTCGTAGTGAAACAACAGACTGCATTTTGCCCGATATCCATTCAGTTCCTGCAAGTTAGAACAGGAAAACATTGAGCACAAGTTGTGCTTTACAATCATTACTATTAGTACTGAGGTGCTGAGCGAGGAGGTGAGCTTGGGATCCAAACACTGCCTTATGATGAAAGTATTGACACTGTGGCCTATTAACACAGTGTATACATTTGATAGCAAATTCTGTAAAGCACGTTCAGACATTTCAGTGTGGAAAGGTGCTATCAAAAAGGCAAGTTGGTTCTTTCCTATCAAATGCCTTATGTCGTTAAATGGAAGTTATATTTCCCATCAGTACACGTATACTATTTATATATATATATCTATATATTTATACATCACTATACTGTGTGTTTAGTGTTCTTTGGAGCTGCTATACCAAGGAGCTATCAAACACACAAATTCAATTTTGCAAGGCAATGGGTAGTGGGACTAGTTGGTGGCTCTTTCAAAGAGTCAGCACAGGCACAAAGGGCTGAATGGCCTCCTTCTGTGCTGTAGGAATCTATGATTCTATGAACGACTGTCTATCAGGATGTCAGGATGACACACTCACATCCATCAGTAATCTGAGAGCCACATCATCGTGGATTCGGCCTTCGCTCCGAGCCTGAGATGCCAGGTTTGTGAACCACACGCACGGAATCCAGTACTTGTTAAAATCAGAGACAAGAATTTCAAACGCCTTTAACTCCTCACAAGTCATGAATCCTGAAAAACAGAAGAATAACCTCTTGATGTGTGGCTGGAGTTCTTTCACCAGTTGGTAACAGTTGAGTTATCTCAGGCCGGGCCTGAACATTCTACCGAGTTGCTTGTGGCCTGTTAGGCCATTTTGTTTTAAAATTACAGATTTTGCCTTCAAAATACACAGTCACTTCACTTTACTGTATGTGCTGTGAAGCACTTTAAGAAGTCCCAATGACATGATAAGCAGGTATAGCAAATGTAAGGATTGTTGTTGTGCAAAATGTTGGGAAAAACATCTTTAATTCTTTAAATTCAGCCTTAATTTGGGAGTCAGTTTCCTGCAGTGAGAGTGGTTTATTTAAAGACGAGGATCAATTTGGAGTCTCTTGAGCAGTTACATTTTTGAAGCCCTTTTGTCTGAATGACAGAATGTTGGAATAAACCATGTGATATTCATCTGACTCCTTTTTACTTCATTTTACTTTGGACAAAATTCTGAGGTTTCCTGACTGTTATCTGATATTTCCGGCTCATCAAATAAATGTTTGGTAACAATTTCGCCCACAAAACATACAGTCAATTCACTTTACAATATATTCTGTGAACCTCTTTGAGACGTCTCGAAGACATGATAACGCACTATATCAAATGCAAGGATTATCATTATTTATTTAATTATGCAGTTGTGAATATTTTCTATCCAAAATGCAACATGTTTTTTGTGGAGTTTGTGATGGGTGTTTCGCACAAACCGCCAGAGAAAAGGCTATTAATTTTTTGCAAACCGTGTATAACAGGAGAGAAGAGATGAGACACACTCACACCCTTTAAGGACAACAGCATCTCAAGCACCTGCCTCCTGTCCTCAACTTCTGTTTACTAATGAGATTGGGTCAACGTTGAGCCTTTCATGACTGAGCTCCATATAAGGTAAGAGTAACTTCTATTCATTTATAGATAAATGTTCTCAGAATGCAACTTGCAATCCCTTTAATGTTGTTAGCAGCAGCTTACATTGACTGGGAAGCTTCAGTGGTTGCTTTGCTGTTTGTAGTCAGTAGTCAGATCAGAGACGTTCTGTTGACTTTCTTCTAACCTCATTTTTTCAGTGTATTTACGATGAAACAGTTCAATGGCATCAGGTCCCGTGTTTGCAAATCTACCAAATGTTTTGTTTTATCTAATGTGGCTAAATTGTATCATCCATGTAGCACTTACTGTATATTCATTCATTGATATTGATCAATAAACAGACTAACCAATACACAATAGCAGATTGAACAAGTAAATCTGGAAATGTCATCTTTCAATGCTGACTATCTATTATCAATTGTAGCGCTACTCATTGATCGAATGAAATTGATCAACAGTAGATCTCCCTCGAGATAGCAGATTAAAAGATTAAACAGAGAAAAAAAATCAGTAATTGTTTTAAAAGTGGGAAAACACACTGCAATTTGCTAAGGAAGTTATAGCAGATAATTAAGATGGGGCTGAATATACTTTCTGTTTTAGAGATGGAATATTGCAGTTAAATAAAATATGACAATATTCACAATATGTTTGTACAATATTTACTATGGAAGTAGAACATCCGGTAGAGCACTCAGGTTTCTAATACATATGTTTATACAAATGTTATCATGAATGTAAGTCTTATGTCAATTGTTTGCTTTTAATAATACTAATCCTTGCATTTGATACAGCGCCTTATCATGCCTTCAAGATGTCTCAAAGCGCTTCACAGGCTCCACTGTAAAGTGAATTGACTGTATATTTTGTGGGTGAAATAGAATAGAGAATAGTGTTTTCAGTGATTGAGTTTACCTGCTTCCACAATGTGCTTCATGGAAGGGAATCTCTTGCGCACCCGTGTGCTGACTGACCTCAGGATGAGGACAGAGGAGAGGTTTGCGTAGCGGATCAGTGTCCTCCGCAGGATTCGTCCTCGCTCATCCAAACCGTGAATATTCCCGGACACCACACACATCAGCTGGTCTGGCAGTGGGATACTCCGGTACTGACTCCACCATCGGTTAATAACCAGAGTGACATAGAACCCTGAGGCAGGAGACAACAACAACAACAAATTACACTTGTATAGCACCCTTCACGTCGGAAAGACGTCCCAGGGCACTGAATTGGGATATGAGAGGCTCAAAGGGCTGCGTCTTGTGATGAAAGATTTCCGTATGTGGACTTGCGCCTGCATTGCTTTTGCTGGACACAAATCCTCTATCTATCCCAGGTTTTATAACAAAGTCGTACACCAAGAATTATTTTATCTCCACTTTAGGGAAGCTGAATGGGGAGTGTTCAGTAACTAGCTTTCACTAGGGACTCGGAGGAGATACAGACCCAGGACAAAGGACATTGGGATGAGGCTGGTGTGTTTGTCACAATATACAGCCACTTTCTCAAACACACGTTTCTGTTCATGTGACAGGAAACACCTAGAGGATGAAACAGAAATAGAAGCTCAATCTCATACTTAGATACACAGGTATACATTGGCTCCGCATAAACTCATAGCTGATCTAAACAGGAAAAATAATTTCCTATTTCTAACAGCATTTATGTAAACAAGACCATTTCATATTCATTCTGGATGGATTTTTAAAAAAATGTTCCTGTTTTAAATAAATAAGTAAATAGTAAAGAGCATTTCAATTCTTCCCCAATGTACTGCTCCCTGTTTGGAGACAGCAGAATAGTAGAGGTCGAATGTTAGATCTAATAACATTTGGGATATTTTAAAAATATCTTTCAGAAGGCAACCTCACCTATAGGTCACACTGAGTATGGAGTATAAAATCACGAACACAATGAATTCTTTGTACAGCAGCTTGTAGATGCTTCCTTTCCAACGAAAGAGGAGTTTGGAGAATCCAGCAAATCGGGCATCAGCAACTTTTAACGTGTACGAGATTGTCATTGTGTCGCTGGGTTATAATAACCTGAAAAATAATGAAAGCCTCAAAGAAGTTACAACAACAACAACAAATTAGATTTGGACAGCGCCTTTCACGTTGGGAGGACGTCCCAAAGCACTGGACAGTCATTTTTACTCTGGTACATGGCGAGCACTTTGCCCAGAACCGTCCTTTACAGTATATTAAATATCATACAATTCCTGAATTTCTGATAAGTCTACACAAGGTTAGGCTACTTGTGTTCAAAGCAGATTATGCAGCTGTTTGCTGGGCTGTCACACAGCCAACTCCCCCTCCAATGACCCAGCTCAGCCTGGCCAGACAAGACAGCAGAGGCTAAACCTTCAGGGAGAAGAGAATCTCTGAGGGCAAATATTTCATGCACTTCAGTCGTCAGTTACTAACCTCATCAGCTGAGGCCCGGAACAGGTCGGACAGACACAACCCCAACAATAGGATATATTACATCAGTGTATCCAGACTTGCACAGGAAATATCAATAAACAAATACAAATAACAATTAAAATGCAATTTTCACAGCGATAATTTCTGACCTTCTAGATAGATGGAGAGACTGTCCGTTGTGGCTTGTGTGAGCGTATAAGAAGAATGTGGGATTCAGATTACTGTGCCTTATAATGCTTTGCTCTTAGTCAATATCTGTCCATCACACACTAATTTATAGCTCCAATATCACTGTAAATAATTCTATGTTCTCTTTTTTCCCCAAAAAAGTTGCAATCAACACTTTATCTGCACAATCATGGGTGTGGGTCATTGAGGACGTGTGTGTACAGTCCCACTAAATCAGACAGCTGAGCCAGACACAGTTGGCCTCCCATCAGCAATGTCTGGGGTTCCTCAGGCCTTTCCAGGTGTGTCTCCTTAGCAGCAGTTAATCCCCAGGTTTCCTCACTCTCTCCCACACCAACCCCCCCACACCCCCACCTCCAAAGGTTTTTGCCATTAGATGTATTAGTGACCGACAGCAAATAGATGGAAACCAGATTCAAACCCAGAGCCCTTCAACGTTTAGCCAAGGGCTCTGATTACACAGTCACTACACTTTACAATAAATTCTGTGAAGCGCTTTGAGACATCTCAATGACGTGATAAGGCACTGTATTAAATGGAAGGATTATTATTATCGCACTTCAGAGAATGCTTCATCCTTTCCTGTGAAATAGTTTTCAGTGTGAGGTGGCTCATGACTCCTGATTAGAAAAATCACAAAAATCCACCATAAACTTTACAAAGTAACGAATTATAGAGTTTCTTATCAGGTTTCCCACCAAACATTGTGCTATTTTACTGACATTTCAGCAAATATTTTTTATTTACAACCCTTTAGCCTGACAGGGATTGTTCTGTGATCTATAAATCAGTTCAATTACAGTCATATCAGCCTGAACCTGGTTTATTGCAATTGCAACACCGTTATCAGACATTTGTAGATTGTTCTCATCAGGTGATGAGTTTATTGTCGCTGTGAACCTACACACAGCTTTACAGAGCTCGAAAATCCAATACAGTCTTTGGATTCAAGTCGGTGGTGGGTGGGTTTATGTGTGGGTGTGGGTGTATGTGTATGTGAGTGCATGTGGGAGTATGTGTGTGTGTGTGAGTGTATGTGTGTTTGGGGTGTGTGTATGTGCGGCTGTATGTGTGTGGGGGTGGGTGTGTGTGAGTGTGTATGTGTATGTGAGTGTATGTGCGTGGGGGTGGGTAGGGGGATGTGAGTGTGTTTTTGAGGGTATGTGTGTCTGTGTATGTGGGGTTGGGGAGTGTCTTGTTTTCTATTTTCTTTCCTGTTTCTGTTGTAAAGATAGAGAAAAAGTTAAATTGTAGATTTGCACCTGGGATAAATCTGCAAATTACAGTCATGGTCTGATGGTTGAGGACAGCAAACAGGAGATGGGAGAGTGAGTGGCAGAGAGTTCTTTCTGCCTCAGAATTGTGTCTTGTTCGTGTTTGTCTTTTGGTTTGCGGAAATTTGTGCAAGCTGGAGCAAGCCTGAGTAATGCAGAAACGTAGTCGATGGTAGGATTTACCTTGACGGTCTAAAATTGTCCCTGGTCACTAGTTTGGGGGGAGAGGAGGCTTCTTTGCTAATCACTGCTCTTTTGATATGTTTGTATCACAGCACCTTGGGACGTCCTCCCGAAGTGAAAGCACTATACGCCCATGTCATTTGTTGTGGTTGTATTATGTGGCCTCACTGCTTTGTGTAGCAGAGGTGTGGCACAATAAGGATGATTTTGTTTCCAAACATACACAACAGTTGAGCGGTAGAAAGATTGTACTGTTATTCAGAGAGATGTCCACTAGATGGAGAATTTGTGCTGTAGGAGTGAAGGAGAGCCTCAGAGAAATGTAACCTTAGAAGAAAAAAATGAACTTCACATTCAATATAATCAGTTTCTGTTAAACAGGTGGAAATGCCCTGTTAAAGGAGTAGAATCACAGGGAACTCTGTGCTTCTGGCAATACTCTTTGCCATGTTTAAGCAAAGAGAAACGCTCAATAGCAGTGGTTAGTGCTACAAATGTACATTCATTCATTCTTAAAAGTATGAGAGTCATATTGAAAAATTGATTTATTTGTGGGCAGGGCGGGGGGAGGTGGATAAGCTGTTCTGTAACTAAAAAAAATGAATAATCTCATTGAATTCAAACCCCTGCTTTTATTAAAGGTTCTGATGAAGGGTTGTGGACCCGAAACGTTGACTCACTTTCCTTTCTCCATAGATGTTGCCTGACCTGCTGAGTGTTCCCAGCCACTTCTGGTTTTATTCCCTGCTTTTATTCACTGGACAGAAAATACCTTACTGAGTTGCCTTCTCTTCTTGCAGTAATACACAATCAACGGTTCTGATGACACATTCGGAAACCCATCACTGTGCTAAGAATATCCAAACCAAGCTGATGATTCTAGGTGGGATGCGTGGAAATCTCAGCTTCGTTTGGATATTCTTAAGCACGGTGATGGGTTTCCGCAAGTGTCAGACACCCGGCTGGAGACAAATCAATAGTACTTGAAGTCCTGTAGCTCAGTGGTTAGAGCACTCGCCTTGCAAGCGAAACACCTGGGTTCAATTCCCGGCAGGGGGAAACCTTGGGCAAGTTTCCTTACTCCACACAGAGCCTAATAATAATCCCTCCAAAACCAAACACAATAATAAATTGGTCACTTCAATCCACGACTGTTTGTGGGACATTGCTGTGCGCAATTGGCTGCCGTGTTTCACCCACAAATATACAGTCAACTCACTTTACAGTCTATTCTGTGAAGCGCTTTGAGACGTCGAGAAGAAGTGAAAAGCACTATATCAAATGCGAGGATTATTATAAGTGTCTCCGTTAGTGACTATCAGATGCTGTTTAAAACCCTAGAGTTTCCTCGATGACTAGAGAGCTGGACCTGGAAGCTTCCTGTTGGTTTGAAGCTGGGCCCAGTGGCTGCTGTATGAGGAAGATGGTGACAAAGCTGCAAAACTAAAACCACAACATTTTCATGACAGTCATAAACCACAGCAGCCGCACCCTCCTGGCTTACAGTTTAAACACAGAACAAGCTGATTACAGGGCTGTAAACCTCTCCACAAGGGCAATGATAGGGTTGATAGTGACAAGCAGTACAGAGCTGACATTGAGGCTCACACTGGATCATTATGGTTTGGAAGGTGGGTGGAAGCTCCTATTATAGAGATTTTATGATCACTATATTGTTGAGAAATCTTGCCGAGGAGGGTTAGAGCCATGACACAGTGAGGCTGAGACTCTGGTGAATGAACTTGCGCGGTTTACGCTGCAAATCGGGAGCACAAAACTAATTCACACCGGTAAGATCAGTCACTTTAAATTCCCTTACTCTCGGTTCCAGTGTAAACAGGTTGATTTATTCTCTCTTGCCAGTACGTTTTTACAGTTAGATTTTAGTAATGTTGTCCTTTTTTTCTAACAATTAAAGGGAAATTGGGTCACTGACATGATAATAAGCATTACATCAGCAAATGGGAAAACAGGAAGAAGCCATTCAGCCCATCTACCTGTTCTGCCAGTTTATTAGATGTTGGCAGATATTTTTAAATTCCGCCCTTTTGCCACACCCCTTTAATCCTCCGCTACCCGAGTATCTGTCTCTCTCGCTTAGAAACGTATCCACTGATTCTGCCTTTACAGTTTTCTGAGGCAGAACTTTCCACATTTTGAAACTCTCTTAGTGAAGAAACACTTCCTCCGCCCAGTTCTAACTGTCCTGACTCTGATTGTAAGGCTGTGTCCCCTTAAGCATTACAATGGGGTGACTTGAGACAATTCAAGACTCTAAACTGAACAAATGAGACAATCATCAGTGCCCATTTTACACCAAAGTGCAGAAGAACATCCATACCCAGGGTTTTCACCCTGATCTGTGAAGGGTCCGGGAACAAGGCTGGGCCATCCTGGGTTCTGCGTGAGACCCTCACAGATTGTACAAACTCAACTCCTATTCCATTGTCTAGCGTCAAAGGAAAGAGTTAATGCCAACCGTGTGAACATGAGTCACAATGAGATAGTAAAAGTGGCTCTGTCTCACTTGTTATGTTGTTATTGTACAAGAACCACAACTGGAACAGGTTTGTGGGTTACCCCCACTCGTGCCATTATCACATCTTAAGGTAGCGGGTTATTGCTCTACGTATAATATAATCAGTCTGTGGAACTATAATAAAGGAAACAATTGTTTAACATCCTTTAGAATAATAATCCACACCCAGGAGGTGGGGTATTACCTTGTGCTACTTTTCTTGTATCACTCCATGATGCTCACACATTAATGACTAAATTTATTCATGTCCAGCAGTAAAAAGTGAATTAATGACCACCTTCAAAATGTTACAGAGTTTATAATGACCTTGAGAGGCAGTGCTGATGGTGTTGAGCAATAAGCCAGTTCAGGAGACACTTTCAGGAGAAAATAGATCATTGTGTGCAGAGTAAATATGATACAGTAATTAGCAATGGAGGCTTGGCAGGCCAGCCCCCAGCTTAATGTGGAGCCTGGATCCTCTGGCTTGCGAGGCGAGTGCTCTAATCACTACACTACAGGGCTCCAGTGTTTCTGGGCTGTAACACTGTATGGTTGTCTGATGGCAGGATATGGCTCATTGTCCAGGGTAAGCTTGGACAAATGGCTGCAGGGTTACAGAACCTTGCCCCAACCTGAGGGAGTGTCCCGTGAAGAGAATGAGAGGAAAAGGGAGAGGAAATCAGTCATAAAGCAAATAGTTCCCCCCAACCAGGGACGGATTCATCCATGAGCTGTTTGGTGAAGTGCCAACTTAGGCTGTATGGACAAGGTTGAGCTTGACCCCACTGCAGGCTTCCCTTCCTACACATGGACACAACAAACACAAGGGAAAGTCAAACATGACCTAATGACAATTGAAACTTTGTGCTGGGCTGAAAGCTCCTCGGGTAAAACAATGGCCTGGATCCGATTCAAAAATGTTGCTCAAGCTCGCAAAAAACTGGAGCGGAAACTGGTTTAATAACATTGCTCAGGGTTGGACAGGTATCAACAGCTAACTCGCTGAGAGTATCAGCTGAACATGTTCTACTGCTTCACAACTCAGGTCAGAACTTCAATACGTTTGGAAATTCCATACCTTGCTGTTCCCAGTCATTTTTTGCAATGGATAGGAATTGCCTTCATTGCAGAGCTTTGTGTTTGTGAGATGTTCCACCTGACGGCCTGAAGCCTGTTATAGCTTTCCTGTCAGACACTGAAATTCATCCTCAGCTACTGTATCACAGAATCCTTGCTTGTGGCTCAGTTTGAAGTTAACTTCATACCCCAACATCAGTGGGAGCGAGGCAGAGAATAGGTTCTCTAGGTGTGGAGTGGGAGAAACACTGCTGTTTATTAAACCCTAACCCACCACAGCACCAACCGCTCTTTGTGTTTTACATACTGTGTGGAAATGTAAATTGATTTGCATCAACCTTAAAAACAAACACTTGCAGGTATGTAAATTAGTTTGCAGAGCAAACATAACATGGCTCCCATTTCCCCAATGTTGGTAGCTCTCATAACAACGAACAGTGTTTGACAGGCTGACCTCTCCAGTCATGGGTTTATAAATGTGATGCTGTAGTTGCAAAGGGACAGTAAACTGGGGGAACAGACTAGATGGGCTGAATGGCTTCATGAACATTATTTAAAATATAAATGTAAACATGTACTGGCAGTAGAGAATAAGGCAACTGGTTTACACTGGAATATAGAGTGAAATAGGGAATTTAAGGTGACTGATCTTACCTGTTTGAAATAGTTTTGTGTTCACGACTGCAATGTAAACCATGCAGGTTGGTTCACGAGAGTCTCAGCCTCATTGTGTCATTGCTCCTTGCAAGGGCACATTATACAATACCTCAAAAGATCAGTGATTAGCAAAGCAGCCTTCTCCTCCCTCCTCTACTGACCAGGTGCCTGGCACTGAGATTTGACCTGTCCTTGTTACTGTGGAAAGTTACCACAATGGTGCTCCTGGTTCAAGCCCTCAAATAATAATAATAATCCTTGCATTTGATATAGAGCCTTATCACACCATTGAGACGTCTCAAAGAGTTTCACGTAATGTACTGTGAAGTGTAGTGATTGTGTATTTTGTTGGCGAAATGCAGCAGCCAACTGTGCAGAGCAGTGTCCCACAAACAGTCGTGATCAAATTATTACATTATTTTTGAAGGCATTATTACCCTGGAAAAGCGATCCGCCAATCGACTAACAGCCAGGTTCCTACTGACTGCTGGTAAACAGAGGCGTGTGTGAGGGGTAAGGGAACTTGCTTAAAGTTTTGCCCTGCCCGGGAATCGAACTCAGGTCCTCTCACTTGTGAAGGTGACTGCTCTAACCATTGAGCTACAGGACTCCACAGATCTGTCAGGTGCCAATGGGGTGCTGGACTGGTGGCACATTATCCAATTGTACTCCGTAATGTTAGTTAAGACATGAGATATGTGAAACATATCGTCCACCAGTGAGTGGCCGGAGGCTGTAACAATAGCAGCTTAATATTGTCAACATCTTTGACTATACAGAAGACAGAGGAATTTGTAATGAAACTCCCTGCTTGAAACACTGACAACAAACATTCCAGGCACAGCTATGGTTCTATTTGAAAGAATATTGTATTAGCAACATAGGATTACATCAACCATAACTGTATACACATGGATCCAGTCTCTAACAACATGTAGACTAGGAAACACAAACATTTGTTAAATACAGTATATGAAGCACTAATGGTAAACAACCAGTTTCCGGGTCATTAAATATATACAGAATAGCAATTTAGTTTTATGTTACATTTTTATTATTACAGACATCTTGAAACAAAAGCCTAAAGCAATATTTGTTTATAAAAATATCCAGTGGCATATTATTAAAATTATAGTGTGTTACTTCCAAGTACAGTGAGCCCTAATGAACCACATCATAAGTAGATTCCAACTTGTATTACTAGCTTCTTCCCATTGCTCTCCAACCAGTGCCTAAGAGTTGGGTGAGTGATTGAGTGATAACTTTCCACCCCTCACAGCACAGTGACTTTGGGAAAGACTGAGATCAAAACATCTCTCTATGACGAGGGAAATGCCGAGGAAGAGTGACTTTGAAGATGCATCAAGTGACATGGGTGATCTGTCTCTCTGCTTGTCCAGATATGGTTCATTGCGTAGCATTATCCTGGAGACCAGCTGAAAAATAGTCTGTCTATCGGGTCCTTTAATCTTCCTTTGTCACTCTTCAGATGGTTATGGAATGTTCTCTCTCCATCCACACTTGGAAGTTGCTTTGAATATATACAGCAAAAAAAAGAGGCAGCGGGTATCAATTATAACGAGAGTGTTTGTGGTGTTAAGTTGTTGGAAAAGATGCTCTTCAGTCTATACATGAGATTGGGAGAAGATAATGTATCCAAACCTGTGTACTCCCCGTCACGGCTCTACCCTTATGGATGGATCATTGCTTTTCCCAGTGCACTTCACAGGATCAACTTAAAGTGATCCAATTAGGCAACTTATCAATAAAAGCAAAGGGTGAGGTTCTAATATCTGTCACTGGATACCTGTCTCTAGATGGCACTAACAGTTCAACACTAAACATTGGACCCAAACAAACTTACGGCACTAGCATTAAATCCAAACTTTTACTAAACTTAAAACTAACGTGAAATCCCTGAAATTTGGACCTGGGAGTTCTTTGAACAAGTTCATAGTTCCAGAATCATAGATCCATTGTGTGGTGTCTGCTGTAGAGTGTGTAGAAACGGTGCTTGTGATGATTATACAGTATTTCCGGCATGCCTTCAAAGCCAATCAATGATATTTTCAAATTGTTCAAAAATATCATATTGGGAAATTGACAGTGAGTTGCTGACACCACGTTGCTGCTTCTCCTCCACACTTTTCCTCCTTTGACTCCGTGTTTACCCTGGACTTGTTTGTCATGACAGAAACTGTGGACGGCACAACTTTAAAACCATACTCTGTGCTGAGCCACTGTAACAAATTAAGTCACTTGAAGCCATCCAATGCTGGGCTGTTACTCTGATAACAATCCTGCATTTTAATCTCAGTAAATTGCCAGTGATTACCCTTTCCTCTCTGACCCAAGGAATCCAGCTAAACAACTTTCCTCTGTCCACCTTCACCAGCCCAAACCAGTTCCCTACCCTGTCAATTTTGTTAATCTCTGGTTTGAAGGCGCTGGTTGCCAATGGCTCCTGATCACTAGGACAAGTCGACATTTTCATATTCTCCGTGATCTGAGTCGTCCAGCTCGATGGCAGGGACGAGATTATAATAGTTTGCCGACTTGTTCATG